GTGAATGCGGACCCCTCTAAATTCAGTTCAATATTATTTTCCGTAATTCCTTCCTCAGAATACGTATGGGGTCCAAATATGAATTTTGGTAATGCTTTATCAAAACCATACCTTAAATATTTTTTTAAAACACCTGTTGCTCTGGACATTTGATTTTTCTGCTTCTCCAGTATATAATTTTTCAAAATTGTTTTTTTGGAAAGCCGAGATCCCACTGGCATCATACAAAATTGTCGTCATTTCGAAAACATCAGATAGATTATTCCCTACTATCATCTCCAGATATCTCTACAAAAATGCTGACAATTCTAGTTTACAGTGAACAATGTTGTCAATTCTGAGATTTGTTTTGTCATTATCATCATTTTCTGAAAGGGGCGGGGCGCAGAGTGCATATATAAAGAGAGAAAAAGCAGTCGAGAACAATCATTCTCAGTAATAACTTGAGGTTCACTATCTGCTCTCATGTTGTTATTAGAATGGTCTCACAAGCAACCGTGTGCTAGGATTCTACTATTTATTTTTTCTGAATATTATAATTTATTCGTTTTGCTTTCAATTTGACAAACTACAGTGCGTTTCATAAGTATAGGTTCACCCTCGGTAGACAGGTGGGAAATCTTGGAGGTTTGGGGTTGTTATAATATTAAAGTCCATGTAAAAATACATATCGCCCACAATTTTTAGACCGCTACTACAAAAAATAAATTTTTTATGTCAGAAAAAGTCTTTTTTTTGAAAAACGAGCGTTTCATAAGTATAGGTTCACCCCCGGAAATTTTAACATTAACAAAGTTTTATTCAATTCAATACTTTGTGGGCTTTCCACCAGTGGAAATAATAGAAAACAAGCGGTTTGGCATGGAATTTAACAACTTCTGGAGGTAAGGCTTCTTCAGGTTCTTCCATGCGTCCACGATGGCAGTTTGGAGCTCAGAAACGGTCTGGTATTGCTTTCCCTGACCATATACGACGCGCACGAGTTCAGCCCAAACATTCTCCATTGGGTTCAAATCCGGCGAACAAGCCGGCCAATCCATCACCTTGATTTTTTTGGACTTGAACCAGTCCAAAGTCGATCTGCTCGCATGAATCGAAGCATTGTCCTGTTGATATGTGAGCTGACGCCGATGAAAACGGCGAAGATATGGGATCAGTTTGGCAGTCATGACATCCTGATAGTCTGTCGAGTTCATTCTAAAGGAGACGAACGCCAAATCCACAGTACCGGCAGAAGAGAATTCTCCCCAGACCATAAGACGACCACCACCGAAGTTACGCTTGGAGAAATGGAGGGGATCCTTCTTCAGGTCGTGCCAGTAACTGTTGAAGCCGTCCGGCCCGTCCAGATTGAACTTTTTTTCATCGCTGAAGATGATCTGTAATAGAAAACAGCATAAGTGATGATTTCAAAAGCATTCCATACCTTATCCCAATCAGTTGCCATGTTGTTCCTTGCAAACTGAAGTCGGTTCGCCTTGTGAGCATCGGTGAGCATCGGCGCGGACATTAACTTGGCTCGGACAATGTTCTGATTGCTGTCCAGTGTTCTCCAGACCGTGGACTTGCTCACATCCAGTTTCAGCTTATTCTTTATGTCGTTACAGCTCTTCATCGAATTGGATGCCAGTCTGATGATGCTTCTCGTGTCTCGATCCGTCAATTTTTTCGGAGCTCCGCTCTTCTTGTTGGTCTCGTAGTGGTCCGGATTGTTAACAAACGTGTTAATACAATTGAAAGACCGTCCTAACCTAGCTGCGATGCGCCGATTCGACCATCCAGCCGTTTTGAACGCGTCGATCTGAGCTCGCTCAGAATCCGAAAGATGAGTGGCTCGCGGCATAAGAAAAACGAAGTAAAAGACGCAAAAATAGTTAAAAACAGTAAAAATAGTTAAAAAGTTATCACCTATGTGAAACTGTAATTTTTTTCAAGGGTGAACCTATACTTATGAAACGCTCGTTTTTCAAAAAAAAGACTTTTTCTGACATAAAAAATTTATTTTTTGTAGTAGCGGTCTAAAAATTGTGGGCGATATGTCTTTTTACATGGACTTTAATATTATAACAACCCCAAACCTCCAAGATTTCCCACCTTGTCTACCGAGGGTGAACCTATACTTATGAAACGCACTTTATATTCTCTGCGATCAAGGATGCGATTATTTCCGACGACAGCTGTCCGAATGTCTGCTACAGTAAGGAATGTCCAGAATCTTGCTCTACCAACAGAACATTTGGCTGTCAAAATCCGAAATGCCGGAATTATGGAATCGAAACGATCAAGAAGGCGAGCCTAACAGAAGGAACCGAGACAGGGAGGTCACATTTCGGAGGATGAGAGGAACAGAAGAGTCAAGAAGAAGCTTGCCGATTTTTCGATCCTGGAATCCATTTAATTGATGCAACGAGATATGGGAACCATTTTATGGATGCAACGAGATATGGAAACCATGAAATCGACGCAACGATGTCTGGAAACCAAGCAAAGTTTGTCAATCACTCCTGTGATCCAAACCTGATCGCTGCTGAAAAATGGAAGGTACATGGAATGCCGAGAACATTGAACCACATTGGATTCATCGCCGTTAATATAAAGAAGAGGAACTAAATTGTCTACTTAGAATTTTGTTTTTTTGTTGTAAATTTACTTATAACTTGAAAAGTAATAAACCTTATAAAACAATAATAGTCTTGAATTAAAAAAACATACCACTAAAGTTGACAAACAATGTTTTAAGAAGGTAATTTAAAAAGAAACTATAATTAAGCCAAAACAAATGCACATCGAATTTTAGACTTTCAATGTTGTGTTCGAATAAAAACGCTTTGTGTACTGTAATTTGGAGTAATCAAAATCTTAAAAAAACTATTAGTTTCAAAGTTCTCACGGAGTCGCAGGGTGTGCGGTATTTCGAAAGCTCTCTGCTAAAAAACAAGGGCGCCACGTTTAAAAACAATTTTTTTTGTCACGTTTTTTCATTGAACGTTGTAAATTAAAAAATACTTCATATCGACATTTCGATTCTTCAAAAACGTGATTTTTTTCTTGAGGAAAAGAGCAGCTTGAATGATGAATATTTATCCTACAGTGACATTTGGTTGAGTAATTCATTCAACTAATTTCTGTGATGAAGTTTTTTTTTCTCTTACCTAAGCTAGAATAATATCATGTGTGTAACAGAATATGGTATATAAGATGACAAAGTAGTGGACCATAACAATTGTGGTATGAGTTGTCACTAAAGTGATTGACATTTCACGGGTAGATTAGAAAAGGGTCTCGTTCCACTAGATCTTTCAGCTAGCTGTACCTTGAAGAACTGATCGCTCGGGTCGAGTTTCATCTTCCATCGAAAAGTCCTGGTTCCTTAATTTGTCAACCCAATTTGCAACTGTGTTTCTAGCGGGCATTGTCTATGTAAGTTTCCACCAGGAGGTGATGATTATCGGATACTTTCAGGTTAGAAATGAATATAAACAATATAGCAATACGAATGTGGTAAGCCTCGGGTACGAAAAGAGGCATCGCAGTCGCAATCGGAATGGGAGCAGGACGAATGATTTTTATGGTCCACTACTTTATCATCTTATATACCATATTCTGTTACACACATTATATTATTCTAACTCAGTTAAGAGAAAAGATGGAAAACAAAAGACTTATTTTCCAACCTAATATCTCTGCCAATTGCCAACGAGGTTGTCTTTCACTTTTTCATTTGGTTGTTACCCATCAATTTGAGAGAACACACGAAACGGATATCGAACAGTGATCACAAGATTCTTTGATATGAGAATTGCACTTTTAGTCAAAAAAAATTGTGTAGTTGTCATTTTTTCAAAAAATCTACCCTTGTTCTAGGAGTTCAGTTTTTCCTGCGCTTCCGGAATAAAATTTTTCGAAATTTTTGTTTAACGGGCCGCACCTTCCACGCTCTAGAAAATATCCTCCATCTCACTTAAATCGTTCCAAATTGTCATCGTTTTGAAAATATCAGATCTTTATAGAAATGCTGACAATCCTCGTTTACAGTAATCAATTTCATCAGTGATGAGATTTGTTTTGTAATTGTCATCGTTTTCTGGAAGGGGCGGGGCGTAGGGCGCGTATATAAACGAGAAAAGTTCACTCGAAAATATTCATTCTCCATGATGTCTTGAAAGCCACTATCGGCTCTCGTGGTGTTATGGGAATATTTAACCAAGCAACCGTGTGATAGGATGCTACTCTATATTTTCCTGAACTTATTCTTTTCTGCTTTCAAATTACAATTCAATTCTATATTCTGTGCGATCAAGGAATCCTGCTCTGCCAACAAAACATTTTGATGTCAAAATCGATAATTTCCGAATTATGGAATCGGAATGACCATGAAGACCAAAGAAGCCGGATAGGAACTACGTCTTCAAAGCTTGTCAAATTGAAGGAGACGTTGTAAGTTGTTTGAATTAATTTTGAGCCTCAACTCGACCAAGTTTGTGGCCGGAAATCAAAAATTATAATTTTCAGATCAGAGGTTACTATAAATACCGAATTGCAATTGATAAGAGATACGGAATCAACAGACATTCGGAAGTTTTGATGAATCCATCAGTTTATGTGGTCCCGAAGCCAAAGGATACCAGCAACGCAGGGACACAGATGTTACCCTATATTTTTCTGAACTTATAATTTATTCTTTTCTGCTTTCAAACTACAATTCAATACTATATTCTCTGCGACCAAGGATGAAATTGACCAGACGACAGCTGTCCGAATGTCTGCAATAGGATGGAATGTCCAAAACCTTGCTCTACCAACAAAACATTTAGTTGACAAAATCAGGAATGCCGGAGTTATGGGATCGGGACGATCAAGAAGACGAGCCTAACAGACGGAACCGAGACAGAAAGATCACATTTCGGAGGATGAGTGGAACAGAAGACTCAAGAAAAAGCCTGCCGATTTTTGATCCTGGAAACCATGTAGTCGATGCAACCAAATCTTGAAATCATGTAATGGATGCATCAATGTATGGAAATGATGCAATCGACGCAACGATGTCTGGAAACAATGTAATCGACGCAACGATGTCTGTAAACAATGTAATCGACGCAACGATGTCTGTAAACAATGTAATCGACGCAACGATGTCTGGAAACCAAGCAAAGTTCGTCAATCACTCCTGTGATCCAAACCTGATCGCTGCAGGGAAATGGAAGCTCCATGAAATGCCGAGAAAATTGAACTACTGTTGGATTCATCGCCATCATCACTTCGAATTTCACTGACCTAATTTTTTGTTGTAATTTTACTCATCACTTGAGAAAAGTAATAAATTTTATAGATATAAAAATCTTGAGTTTCAAAAAGATACCACTAAATTTTACAAGCAATGTTTTGAGCATTTGTATTCGAATAAGTATTCGAGCCAAAACAAATGCACATCGAATTTTAGACTTTCAGTGTTGTGTTCGAATAAAAAAGCTTTGTATACCGTAATTTTGAGTAATCAAAATCTAAAGAAAAACACGATTAGTTTCAACGTCCTTAGAGTCTAAAAATATATATATTTTTAGAGAATTCTGATAATTTTCGAAATTCGATTATTCGAATGCGTGGTTTTTTTTTCTTGAGGAAAAGAGCAGCTTGAATGATGAATATTAATACTACAGTGATATTTGGTTGAAAAATTCGCCCTGCTCTCATTCCGTTTCCGAACGCGATGCTTCTTCTCATTCCTAGTTTTTTTTTGGGTGAAATTCATGCTTAACGAAGCCAACTGACTGTTGATCGAAGTCAACTCTATGGGCTCTTCTGTTATGGTTAGTGTATATGATACACTTTTTACCCGAGGTGATGATATGATTCAGCCGCTTGAAGTTCCCGTGTAGAGTAAGAATTTGTATGCTCATGTCCACTTGCCGCTGAACATCAAAATAGGTCAAAACGGTGAAGTATCCGTCGTCCAAGTTTTTTGTCTTTCCCAACTTTAACAATCCATTTTTAGTAGTAGTATGAGTTGTCATTAAAGTAACTGACATTTCACCAGTATATTGGAAAAGGCCCCGTTCCATTAAATCTTTCAGTTAGCTATACCTTGAAGAACTGATCGCCCGGGACGAGTTTCATCTTCCATCGAAAAGTCCTGATTCCTTAATTTGTCAACCCAATTTGCAACTGTATTTCTAGCGGGCATTGTTTTTGTAAATTTCCACTAGGAGGTGATGAATATCGGATACTTTAAGGTTAGAATTCAATATAAACAATATACATATTAGGTTGAACAGAAAGTTTCTTTCTTTTTTGGCAAAATTTTTGATCAATTTTTCTCAAAGCGGAGGGGGCTAGATCAATGAAAGTAAAGTTCACGAGCATTGATAGCTGCCTGTTAACGCTCCCGTAATTTTCTGATCTCATCGGCATAGGACTAGGAGGGCTGCGATTGAGATAGTGGGTCAACTCCTTTTTTATGTCATCTTTTCACTTGAAGTATTTTCTATACAGATGACGTTTTAGAGCCCCAAACGACCATTTTTCTAATGGGCGAGGTCTGGAGAATACGATGAGTGCAAAAGAATAATTCAGTCAAACTACCTAAAATTATGGCCAATCCCTCAAGTCAAGAGCGATCTCGTAGTATCGTGCTGGAAGTATAACTTGAGCTTTTCTCCTTCTCCCGATTTGACTGCCAGAATCGATTTTTTTTTAAATTAGGAAATACACAAGATAGCGGTTATAGTCCTACCTCATATAAACATTCCCAGCGACCATTCCTTTGACAGACCATCAAACTCATAGCATCCTTTTTTTGATGTGAAATTTAGTTCCCGGGACGTCCAGAGCTAGCTCTTCGTAGTCAATCAACTGACGCTTCCGTACATTAACAGAGTAACTTACACTCTTCTTATTTACGGTAACTAGATTACCCATCCAACTGAAAGTGCGGAGAAATGATAGGAGAAACATGATCATGATTACACGGAGATTCATATCGTTGTCCTTCAAAGCAAAGGGTACGAATAGATCAAATTCTTGGCACCGCCCAGAGAACTCTATCCGATCACAAAACTTTGTTGACTAACGGACATTGCCTTCGACATTTTACGAGTGATTCTAAATAGATCCTCATTCACGACTTTCAGTAGTTGATCTGGATCAAACTCATCGGGCCGTTGCCATCTTTCAAACTGAACTCCCCCATCTTTCAAACTGAACTCCCCCTTCTGACGTCATCAAGATCATCAAGATGACGTTAGAAGTGGCTGGATGGGTAATAATCAAAAAGTAGAAGGTTAGAGCTATACAGTGAATAAGGCTGAATCGTCTAGACATATCCACCGAGTTCGGCCTGGGTCTTCCTTCCCGCATGAGGTTGCGAATTTTAATTTTCAAAATAAACCTTTGCGTTCCTCTCCAATCTAGATCCACATAAAGTCTGAGTTCTAGATCCACATAAAGTCGGGGAAAAAAGTTGCGTTGAGCCAAAAGATGGGCTCAATTTCTTCCCACTTTTTTGACTGTGCCGAGAGTTTTCAATCTACGGTTTTTTAACGAAAGGCTTGCCACTGATGTACTTCATATCATACACACAGTTTGAGGAGGGTCCCTTTCTTTCCCGGCTTTTAATGCATCTAAACCTAAGCCCATTTGCCTTTTTGAAGAGAGATTTTCGTCAAAAAAGAATTCCCGTTTTTCAAATTACTGAATCCAGGTTGTGATGTTAGTTCGAATGGGTGCATTTGCGTTGTTAACCGCTACTAGTTGGCGATCGATTTCTGCTAATTTAAGATCAGTTATAAATACAATTATAATGGTAGTCCAAAAATGAAAATTAATAGAACCGAAAACGGTGAACATATCTCATTACACAAAAAGGGGGGAATGATTTCCGTTGGGGTGCAGACACTATTAGACCCCACCAATATACTGAAAAAACAACTGCTTCCTCGCTTTAACCCCGTTCAAAAATACAAAGTTTGAAAACAACAGATCAAAAATGGAAAGGACTTTCCGAACAACCTAATATACCAGGTGTTTGACGACCAAATAAAAATATCAATGAAATCATTGTGCATATATGCAGTGGGATAAGGACCAAAAGAATCGTCATTCCTCAAACACGAATTGAGATACAAATCAACAAAACTGAGGTTTAATAGACACTGAAAACAGCTCTCCAACAAAAAAGTTTGACCTGGAAAACCATTTTGAAAACCAGAAATCGAGTCAAATGTAACTCTTTCAAAAAGAAAGAAACTGTTCAACCTAATAGCAATACGAATGTGGTGAGCCTTGGGTATAAAAAGGGGCATCGCATTTGGAAGTGGAATGAGAGCAGGGCAAATGATTGTTATGGTCCACTACTTTATCATCTTATATACCATATTCTGTTACACACATGATATTATTCTAGCTCAGTTAAGAGAAAAACCTCCCCTTGTTGTAGGAGTTCAGTTTTTCCTGCGCTTCCTGAACAAAACTGTTTGAAATTTTTGTTTAACGGGCCGCACCCTCCACGTTCCAGACCATATCCTCCTATCTCAGTTAAATCGTTCACCATTTTCTTCGTTTTGAAAATATCAGATCTCTATATAAATGTTGACAATCCTCGTTTACAGTAATCAATGTCATCAGTGATGATATTTGTTTTGTCATTGTCATCGTTTTCTGGAAGGGGCGGGCGTAGGGTGCGTATATAAACGAGAAAAGTTCTGTCGAAAATATTCATTCTCCATAATGTCTTGATAGCCAATATCTGCTCTCGTGGTGTTATGGGAATATTTAACCAAGCAACCGTGCGATAGGATGCTACTCTATATTTTCCTGAACTTTTTATTCCTTTCTGCTTTCAAATTACAATTGAATACTATATTCTCTGCGATCAAGGATGCGTTTGTTCCGACGACAGCTGTCCGAATGTCTGCAATAGGAAGGAATCTCCAGAATCTTGCTCAACCAATAGAACGTTTGGCTGTCAAAATCAGAAATTCCGGAATTATGGAATCGGAACGATCAAGAAGGCAAACCCAACAAACGGAACCGAGACAGGAAGATCACATTTCGGAGGATGAGAGGAACAGAAGAGTCAAGAAGAAGCCCGCCGATTTTTCGATCCTGGAATCCATTTAATTGATGCAACGAGATATGGAAACCAGCCTTGGATGCCAAAATCGGTGATTTCCGAATTATGGAATCGGAATGATCAAGAAGACCAAAGAAGCCGGATAGGAACTACGTCTTCAAAGCTTGTCAAATTGAAGGAGACGTTGTAAGTTGTTTGAATTAATTTTGAGCCTCAACTCGACCAAGTTTGTGGCCGGAAATCAAAAATTATAATTTTCAGATCAGAGGTTACTATAAATACCGAATTGCAATTGATAAGAGAGACGGAATCAACAGACATTCGGAAGTTTTGATGAATCCATCAGTTTATCTGGTCCCGAAGCCAAAGGATACCAGCGACGCAGGGACACAGATGATGAACAAATAGTTGAGACAATGAGACCAAAAAGAGGGAAAATCAGACCTAGTCAGTGCCAAGCGCTCACTCAAATATGAACTTCATTGGTATCAGCGCCCATATTATCGATGCAACGATATCTGGAAACCAAACAAAGTTCGTCAATCACTCCTGTGATCCAAACCTGACCGCTGTTGAGAAATGGAAGCTCCATGGGATGCCGAGAAAACTTGACCTTTATCGCCATCATTTTTTAGAATTTTGTTGCCCTAATTGTTTATTGTCATTGCTCATAACTTTCTTATGACTTGGTATTTAATAAATCTTATAAAAATAATAATACTCTTAAGTTTAATAAAAATGCCACTAAATTTGACAAACGGTGTTTTCAGCACGGCATTCGGAAAAATAATCAAGCCAAAACAAATGCTCAGTGCTGTTTTTGAGTGAATGAGTATTTGGATACTTAGGATCCAGTTGATAGCATGATTAGTTACAAATTTTTCTTTGGATCGTAAATTTTATCAAAACTGTATTTTTGTATAATGCTGAATATAAATACTACAGTAATAACTGTTAGAGTAATTTATTCAAGTAACATTTGTAAAGCGGAAAAAACACTTTACTTTAGTTTGATATTCTTACATTCTACGCCTATTCTTATAAGTTGAATGTATTATTATTATTTGGTGACGTGAACTACCCTGGTTCACTAACCCTTTCTATTTCCTCCACATATTACACGTGGATTTCTTGTCTCTTGAGAACTCCTAAGTTCTCAAGATTAGTTTCTGTATTGTCCCTGAATAAAGACTTTTATTATAACCACTCTCTACCCTTCCTGTGTCTCCTATCATGTCTGGACCACGGGATACAACAACTGGCGATCAGGCAAAGGCTATGGCAGACCTGACTCAACAACTGGCAGCCCTCATCACCATTTTGGACAATTTGTACAAAATCCAGCATCATCTACTACATCTGCACCATCAAATGTGTCGACTGGAACGAGTCAGTTGGTGGAATCTATTTCGACTCGAATTCCGAATTTCTCGTACGATCCGGATGAAGACAAGACATTTGATGGATGGTGGAATCGATATGAAGATATCATCACCAAGGATGGCTCTTCTCTCACAGAAGATGCCAAAGTCAGGTTCGTTCTATCAAAACTAGATTCCAAATAGTACTACCATTTTTCAAATCGAGTACTGCCGGCAACTCCCAACTCTCTCAAATTCACTGACCTGATTTCAAAGCTCACCGACACGTTAAAGTCGACTTCTTCAATATTTCGGAAGCGTCAGGAATTTTTGAGAATGGAGTACGATGGATCATCGATTGAAGAGTACACAGGCCTAGTACTCCGCCGGTTCACATCTTCAGAATTCAAGAAGATGACCGATGATCAAGCATGTTGAATGGTGTGGATAAATGGATTGAGGGATAGCAGCTACACCGATATTCGAACCAAAGCACTTCAAATAATGGAATCGAAGCCTACTACTACACTTCTTGAGCTGGAAAAAGAAATCAAGAGACTCCTGGACATCCGAGAAGATTCCAAAAGTGTGTGCAGAGTTCAACAACCAGCAGAGATCAACGCCATCAATCGAAAATCAAGCACGGACAAATCACAGAAATCTCAGCAGCCTCCACCGTCACCATGCTTCAAATGTTCTGGAAATCATTGGGCTAGAGAATGCCAGAAAAAGGTCACATGTGTTAATTGTCAAAAGAGCGGTCACATAGCTAAAATTTGCAGAACCAAAATAAAAGGCAATGAGTCTCCAAAAGGCAAAATCAAATCGGTCATAATTGGTTCAGCGATCAACTCACAAGTCAACCGTATCTACAGGACAGTCATTATAAATGGAAAAAAGCTGAAGATGCAGATGGATACAGGTGCTGATATCACGATGATCAGTATAATAGATTGGAAGCTGTTGGGCAGTCCAGAACTTCAGGCACCAACAATTCAAGTGAAATCTGCAAACCATCAACCGATTGCCGTCAAAGGATTTTTCAAGTGTCATTTCAAGCTGAATGGTACATCTGCATCGGGAATGGCTCATGTGGCGGAGACCGGAACTCTTCTGGGAACCGATTGGATCTCCAAGGATCCACATTTTTGGCGAATGCTAAACGCAAACCAAGTCAGCAAAGTTTCTTCCGATGTTGGCTCAGCATGCGACTACCTGGACAACATGCATGAAGGACTTAAAGCTGAGTTGAATAAACAGTTTTCAGATGTCTTCAAACCAGAACTTGGTCGCTGCACGAAGACAAAAGCATCTCTGGTACTAAAACAGAATGCTCAACCAGTATTCCGGAAAGCCCGCCTAGTTCCATTTGCCGCCGTTTCCACAGTTTCCGAAGAAATTGAACGACTACAAAAAGCTGGTGTCATTTCACCGGTGGACCACTCCGATTGGACCGCACCAATCGTACTTGTCAAGAAGAAGAACGGATCGCTACGGATGTGTGCAGACTTCTCAACGGGTCTCAACGACGCCATCCAACTTCACCAGCATCCTCCTCCAACTGCCGACGATATCTTCGCCACACTAAACGGTGGGAAGTATTTTTCTCAGATTGATCTCGCCGAGGCTTATTTTCAGATTGATCTCGACGAGCAAGCCAAGAGCATACTGTGCATCAACACACACAAGGGATTGTTGCGCTACAATCGCCTAGCATTCGGAGTCAAGTCAGCTCCAGGATCGTTACAGCAAGTGATGGGTTCTATGATCACGGGTCTCGATGGCACTGCAGCATACCTTGATGATATCATCATTTCGGGTTCTACCATTGAAGAACACAACAAGAGATTAATGGCACTGATGAAGCGGATCAATGACTATGGATTCCGCATCAGACTGGGAAAGTGCACATTCTTGATGGAAAGGATCACATTTTTGGGATTCGTCATCGATTCGGATGGTAGAAGACCGGATCCGGAGAAGATAGCTGCCATTGATCAGATGCCACCACCAACAAATGATAGCCAAGTCCGATCATTTTTAGGATTCATTCAGTTCTACGAGTCTTTTGTTTCGGAGTTGTTCAAGCTTCGCCCACCATTGGATGCCCTTACAAAGAAGGATGTCAAATTCCAATGGACTCCTCAATGTCAATTTTCATTCGACCGCGTCAAGCAGATTCTTCGTTCCGATTTGCTGTTAACACATTATGATCCGAACCTCCCGATCATCGTCTCTGCCGATGCCTCTCAATACGGTATTGGTGCTGTAATCTCTCATAGATTTCCAGATGGTTCCGAGTACGCAATCTACCACATCAGCAAAGCTCTCACAGCACCACAACGGAACTACAGTCAGATTGAGAAAGAAGCTTTTGGTCTCATCACGGCTGTCACCAAGTTCCACAAATTCATCTATGGCCGTCACTTCACACTCAAAACGGACCACAAGCCATTACTATCGATTTTTGGAGATAAAAACGGTATACCCCTTTATAATGCTAACCGTCTCCAGCGTTGGGCGATCATCCTGCTCAACTACGACTTCTCGATCGAATACGTCAACACTCACGATTTTGGCCAAGCTGATGCCCTGTCAAGACTGATCTCCGAACAAATCCAACAGACGGAATGTGAGGATCGTGTGATTGCTCAAGTGGAATCGGAAGTCTTGACAAATCTGGTTACAACATGTGATCAATTGCTTGTGACTGCTAAAATGATTCGAGCATCGTCCAAGAAGGATCCTCTGCTGAATCAAGTATACCAGTACACTATCTCAGGTTCGTGGCCCAAAACCTCTGATAAAACTTCACAATTATCTCTTTTCCACAACCGACGTGATCAACTCTCCATCGTGTCCGAATGTTTGATGTTCAATGGTCGAATCGTGATACCACATGCTCTGAGATCCCGAGTCCTCAAAATGATACATCGTGCTCACCCAGGAATTGTGAGGATGAAACAATTGGCAAGATCACTAGTCTATTGGCCAGCCATTGATAAGGATATCGAGAAAATGGTACGTAGTTGTGATGAATGTGCTTCTGTTTCTAAAAATCCAACAAAAAATACTTTGTGCTCCTGGCCGATTCCAACAGCTTCATAGCAGCGTGTTCACTGAGACTATGCCGGACCAGTTGATGGACGCTACTACTTGGTAATCGTGGATGCATTTTCCAAATGGCCAGAAGTCATCCCAACCACATCCATAACATCCACAGCTACTATCAACATATTGAGACGAATTTTTGCACAATTTGGAGATCCGGAGACACTGGTGACCGACAACGGCACACAATTCACGTCATCTCAATTTCAAAGTTTCTGCAAAGATCGAGGAATCAGTCACCTGCGAACACCACCGTTCCATCCTCAGTCAAATGGACAAGCAGAAAGATTTGTGGATACCCTGAAAAGGGGATTAGGCAAGTTGAAGGGGGAGGAAAACACAGATACTGCCTTATATGTGTTCCTCCAGAACTACCGCTCCACTCCTTGCTTATCCAGCCCAGATGGCTCCACACCTGCTGAGAACTTCATTGGTCGGAAGATCCGCACCTTCTTGGATCAATTGCTTCCCAACGACCAACTTCTCGTCTCGCATGACACAGAGATGGAGAAGCAGTTCAACAAACAGCATGGTGCCCGGCGACGCAGTTTTATAGCCGATGAAAAGGTTTATGTTAAAAACTTCAGTAGCATAAATACTACCACTTGGATTCCAGGAATCATTCAAAGACGCATTGGACGAACGTTGTATCGAGTGCTCGTCAAGGATACTGTATGGATCAGACACATCAATCAACTCCGTCGACGCGACAACCCAATCCACGTAGACGTGCCACTGGACCTGATGGATTCAATTGATGTGACACCAACACCCGCTCCAGCTCTAACCAGTTCCACCGCTCCACCATCTCCAGCATACTTGTGAAATTCCGAGCCGGGCCTGAGGAAATTTTCAAGGCCCGGGCCCGGCCCGGAAGGCCCGGTAGCAAAAATTTTGTCATTTTGAGTCAAATTTTGAGCTCTCAATACAATTTTCTCCATTATTTTTTGTGTTTTTGGATTGTTTGTCTGTTTGATAAAAAAAATATCAACAAAACTCGAAAAAAAATTTTTGATCGAAAAAAAATCACATAAGGGTCCCCCTTATGTGTTTTTTGAAATTTTCAAAACTTGTGGAATGACAGCCCGCCGGCCGGGCCGGGCCTCCGAAATTCGGGAAAATGCCCGCCCGCCCGGCCCGGCCCGTTACAAGTATAATCTCCAATACCGACTCCCCCCCACTCCGATGCCACGGAAGTCTACCCGACTGGTCGTGCAGCCGAGTCAGAAATCGTATAATTAATTTCTGTACCTCTATTCATCTTTCTCTTTCAACTTAAAAAGGGTGGTGTTACATTCTACGCCTATCCTTATAAGTTGAATGTATTATTATTATTTGGTGACGTGAACTACCCTGGTTCACTAACCCTTTCTATTTCCTCCACTTATTACACGTGGATTTCTTGTCTCTTGATAACTCCTAAGTTCTCAAGATCAGTTTCTGTATTGTCCCTGAATAAAGACTTTCATTATAACCACTCTCTACCCTTCCTGTGTCTCCTATCATGTCTGGACCACGGGATACAACAGATATACTCTTGTAAAAAAATTGGTTCTTAATATTTTTTCAATTGGAAACTTTCCGAATTCGCAGTATTTTTTGTGGGTACTATTTTCCATATCGAAGAATCTGCCACTATAATTCGCAATTTTCTTTTCTGTCTTGTCCTTGTATCTCAGCCGATTGCCAACGAGGTTGTCTCTCACTTTTACATTTGGTCGTTACCCACCAAATTGAGAGAACACACGAAACGGATATCGAACAGTGATCATAAGATTCTTTGATACGATGAGAATTGCACTTTTAGCCAGTTTTTCCGAGACTATTCCGCTTTATTGTCTCTTCATCCGCCGTCTGTCTATGTTTTATCGGGATGACAAATGCCCTTTTTTGGCCTCCCATAGAGGGCTGCCAGCCAAAACCTGAACTGTTTTTCATTGAAACTCCGCCCAGTTTGGAGAGTACAAGAAGGTGTCCGATTTGCAGGAATGATGTTTGTCTCCGGTGGAGGATCTCATACGGCAATCGCGCTTATTCTAACTAAATAAATTGTATGAATGAATATTCGATTAGCCTGAAACTAACTTTTCCGCTTCTCAATGCTCCATTTGCAAAATCAAATTGATTTTCTTGCAAATGGGATGAGAACCGGAAACGTTTGATTGACGGAAACTTTGAAAATGGTAAGAATATTGCTGACACATTTTTGAGTGCTCCAAACTCTTCGTGAGTCTTTTAAATTCACCGAGAATGATCCTATTAAAAATGTGTTTTTTTTTTCGAAAACAGACAAATTTCGAATCAAATTTTACAATTTTCCAATACACTATTCAGATGAAAATCCACTTTCCAAAAATACCCAAAAAAAATTTTCAATTCTTCGTTCAGCTTACCTCATCGAGTTGCCTTGAACAGTCTCAGAGAATACACCCGGACGGTTTCTATAAATTTATTTAAAACGATCGACCGATAACATGATTAAGATAGTATTTGAAATATTTTGTCAGCATGTAACGTTTTGATAAATCCATAGAAACCGTCCGGGGGCATTCTCTGATACTGTTTAAGGCAACTCGATGAGGTAAGCTGAACGAGGAATTGAACGAGGAATATCAAAAAAACGATCGGCTGATAACATGATCAACATGGTATTTGAAATATTTTGTCAGCATATAACGTTTTGATATACTTCACTGGACCAAAATTAATCAGCTCAAAGTTGACGGTTATGTACGTATTCTGAAAAAAATGCTTACGGTATAACAAAACTGAAAAATTGTTAATTTTCAAAATATATTTGAATCAGCTTCTCCCGTTACTTACGCATCACACATTTTCCCAATGTTCATCTTTACAATTTTTCAGCAGCTTCATCGAAAATTCCAGAGTTCAAATAAATCATCCTGACGTTTCAATGTTTTACTTCCCGCACTAAACTACTAAATAATCCGTCAACTGCGAGGAATAAAATATATATCGGCCGTGCGTCTAGAAATGTATATATGTACATACGACGAAGAGCACATAATACAAAGATCGGGCTGAAGCATTTCATACACTGCAAGTTTTTTTCAGAAAAATTTTTTTGTGACAGATGCAAAATGCTTTGATGAGAATGTAGGTGGATGTTAGGATGTCTAGTTTGCAGGAAGCCATACTACAGGAAAAAAGCAAGGAGGTCAGAAAGTGATTTTGATAAAAACAAATCAAGATTTTTGAACAAATCAAGATTTTTTCATGGCTTGTTAAAATAAAAACTTCAGATGTTTCTTGGTTTTCAAATGTTTTGAGTGTATCTGCTTTACTGTTAACCATATTGTGTTAATTGCAATTTTGGAAACTCCGATAAAGAAACTTTTTACTTTCTACTAAAATCTGGAAGGGTGTTACTCAAGTAGGACTTTTACATTTTTAAATTTGTGGATTTTGTTCAAACTTTGAAGTTTCAAAAAGTACAATAATCTATTATGACGGAAATAGAAATATTGGATTTGGACTTTTCCGATTTTTCGGATTTTTTGCTTTTTCGATTACGTTTTCGAGACACAACTTGTTTAGAGCACTTCTGGCTGTTCAAACAACTGACTGGTGCTCCTTTGGCGCACTTCAATAGTTTCTCATTGGTTTGTCGCTCCGCTCCTGATGGTTTTCAAATATTTCAAAGTTTTGAACAACTGACAGAAAGACTGAAAAGCTGACAGAAAGAGAAAAATGATGATCAATTTCTTAGAAGAACCACTACAATCAAAATATGTAATTGTAAAATGTTTCAGCAACACATTAAGAGAAGAGTTACAGTTGCTGACATAAGCCGAAATTTAACAGCGCCTCAAGACACAACCGTAATAAAAATTTTTCTCTACAATTATATTTTGTCAAGAATTTGAATCGTATTGGCGTTTTGTGTTTACGTCTTGACGTTTTTAGATACCGTAAATCCATAAAAACCGTTATATCGTTCCAAACAATGAAATCATCAAACCAAGTCTATTTTTATTCTATTTCTGACTTTTTAGATTCCGTACATGTTCCGCTCAGAGTTTGTGCTGAAATGTATTATGTACATGTGTTATGATGTTTGCAACGTTTCCTTTTTCAAGAATGAATAGAATGAATAACACCTGGGAGGTTCAAAAAGCACAAGAATTCCGTGTTTTAAGGCGTACCAGCACAAAAAACTAAAGTCCAAAATTTTCCAGTTACGGTTTTTGATTCATCGCTTCCGATTATTTTTTATGAATATGTTTTCCCCTCTATTTATTTTATTTGTTTTATCAGCGGAAGTAATATTTATTCTAAAATTTTTTTTCATAAGAGTTCTATCATCTATCTTCAAAAGTTATCTTCAAAAGTTATTTGCCAATGATGTCATTGTGTAGTTTTCGTTTATCCAGTGTACTTCACTCAACTAGAAACCCACCGAATTTCAAAATTTGCTGACATTTAGACACTAATTGAGTTCCAATGGTTCCAAAGAAATTAAAAGTTCAATAAAAGGTTCCCAGCCTTCCATTTTCATCTCTCCTCAAAATGCCTAATTCTCTTATTCATCAAAAAACGTTTTTTTCTTCCTCATTCATTGTCCAAGTGAGCGAGTTTTCCTTTCTTCAACTAGTTTTGGTCCCATAGCACGTAGACCACTTGTTACCAATTGAGCCTTCTGCTGCTGTAGTTTCTTTCCTTCAGTGGTCCCTCAGTTTTTTGTTCACTTGCAGCAGAGTCCCTGCGCTCTCTCTATCTTCCGGGTTGTTCTATTCTCGGACCCTTACCCTCAGTTTCCTCTATTTTTTGCTCCTTCTTTTTTTTTCCACTCTACGCATCCAGGCATCTGCCATCATCATCATCATCGACGCGTCTGCTTCTCTTCGAAAGATCATTCTGAATTGCACAAGCGCACGTTTCAACAGCAAAGCAGAGAAAAAAATAACGCAAATTGAGAAGAATGACTCTTCTTTGGTCCCTTCCATGTTTCTCTCGGATACTCGCGTCTTCACAAAAATCAAAGTTCCTGTAGAGAAAGCACTGAAATTGAAAAAAAAAGAGAGAAGGAGAGAAGGAGAGAAAGAGCGAACAAAACAAACGAAATGAGACAAGAGGGCAAAAAGAAGAAAATTAAAAAATCGGAGGGCATTTGTCTTTTGACTCCTGGGATCAACACACAAACAACACATGCTAAATGTAATGAAACACTTGCTTCGTGTTTCAGCGAATTGGCAACAAATTCCGGGTCAAGGCGTGATCGACGAACGACATTAATCACTTTGATGTTGCGAATTTCTGAGCGAAGATCGACACGAGAAAAATTTTTTGGTGGAAGAGAATTGTGCGCTGGTAGTTTTAAAAGCTATAAGAAATGTTATATTGGTCAGAGGATTACTGAGAACGGAACGGATGATGTCTGGGCACTCTGCACCTTAGAGCTTAATTTGCAGACGAATTAATTTTTGTCTGCATCATAATTGTTCTTTATGAAAAAAAGGGTTATGAACTAAATTCAAGCAGTTAATATTTTATTTTGGAGTTTGAAAAAAACCTATCTTCCGCAAAATACAAACTGTGCAATGCATACTTGTGAAATTTCGGCCCGGCGGCCCGAGAAAAAATTTTCAGGGCCCGGCCCGGCCCGGCGGGCCGGCAGAAAAAAAACAAAATTTTTGAAAAATGAATTTTTGTTTTTGAATTTTGTTTTTGTTTTTGAAAATGAATTTATTGATTTTTAGAATGTATTGAAAAATAACTCGAAGAAAAAAAACACTGAATACCTTTTTTCGAAACAATGATTCAACTTTTCGCTCAAGATTTTGAAGTTCGCGGTAAACTTCCGG